AGGGATTCAATGTTTTATAAATGAGTAATGTGGTTAATTTCCCCCTAGAGCAAAGCAAAATAATCCAAATAGTAGATATGAATCCTGATCTTCAATACAAAATAATCCAAATAGTAGATATAAATCCTGATCTTCAATGCAAAATAATCAAAATGGTAGATATAAATCCTGATCTTTAATACAAAATAATCAAAATAGTAGATATAAATCCTGATCTTCAAGTCAAATGAAGGAATTTTAAATAAATTTGATCTGGATCATCTTTAGACCAGAGCACGAGGAACTTAACGTATTAATGGAGGGTATGGCCCCTCTGTGAGAAGAGGGACAGGTCCAAATAGGGAAACACAGGTTATTCTCTCATTTCCGTGTGTTTAAGATAGAGCTGTCCAGGGTAAGAAAGGGGTGTAGGAAATTTCTATTTTACACCCCATTTCATGTGACGTGACGTCACAATGGTTCAACAACGAACTTGGAAAACACCAATGCCGTTATGCGGAAAAGGCAACTTGATGAAATTAAAAGCTTTTACGATATATTTATTGTGCATGTGTTTGCAAATATAGGGTATGCTAAATCCTGCTGAAAAGTTAGTTTTCATAAAAAAAGCTTGGGGGGGAAAAATTGATATTTTCAAAATGGTAGCTAGTCCAAACGCATTTTCATGGTTTCTGAGCTTATTTTGGTATTTGAAATGAGAGAAAAATACTCTATCATGCCCAAAGGTGTAGGATAGGAAAACTCCACCCTCAGGATTTTCAAATTTGGCAAAACCCTGGGCAAAGCCTTGGGTTTTGCTAAATTTTAAAACCCCTCGGGTGGAATTTCCCTATCCTACACCCCTGGACATGAAGGAGTCTTATAATCTTTCATATCCTTACAGCTAAAGGATTTTAGACAAACTTTGATCTCAAGTATCCTTGGGGCAAATGGACTCAAGGTTGCATATAAACGAAGTGTGCTCCCATGAGAGCGAATGAGCAGGGCCCAATAGGGGAACTAAAGGTTACGAAAAAGGAATCCCTCAAATATAATTGCAAACATCCTTGGGCTTGTGTTGACCTCACAGTTGAAAGACAATGCTATGATACAGGCTACTTTCAAAGATTGCAAAGCAGTGATTCTTACAGTAACTTATGTGTGCATCAAAATTTAACCATACACTCCACAACATCAAACAAACTGTATTGTTCCCGTGTTTTTATCCAGCACCTCAGCAGTATCCGTGTAAGCAACAGTGACAGAATGCTGTACTGCAGATAATAATAACTATTGATTGCAATTTCACTGATCAAACAGCCATTTGTTCTGTTCACATCAACGTGTGATCATTCCTTGTATAATGTATCCCTACCAAACATGCAATGCAAGCAATTTGAAATCATTGACATTTCGGTAATCTTCTCATTAATTACTAAGATAAACTCATTCACCCCTGATATTTCATAATGAACTATTCCAACCTTTGAATTGGAAGAGTTCAAATGTGTCTTTAGGGGTAAATGAGTTAGGGTCACTTTGTAAACCGATTTATGCATTATCATTGGGTTTCAGTTCAATTTTATCTCTTTTACATATCTGGTGAATAGCCCGGATTCTGACATTGAACTTAGGGAGTCATTAATTTAAACAAACATGATAGCCCTTCATCCCAGCATACTGCTGGCAAAATATCACCACCCTGGGCATTTAGTTTAGTTGTTTGAAGATTTTTAGCTCACCTGCACAAAGGGCAAGTGAGCTTATGCCATTGAGCAGCGTCTGTCATCCGTCATCCACCCCTCAGTTTTTAGGTCACCTGAGACAAAGTCTCAAGTGACCTATTGCGAACGCCTTTTGTCCGGCGGCATCTGTCGTGCGTCGTGCGTCCATAAACAATTTACATTTTCGACTTCTCCTCCAAAACCCCTGAACCAATTTCAATGAAATTTTGCAGGAACCTTCCATGGACATAGGTCAACAAAATTGGTTGCCAGTTTAGTCCCAAGCCCCCAGGGGCCTGAGGGGCGGGGCCAAAAAGGGTCAAATTGACTAAAATTTCAAAAATCTTCATCTCAAGACCCAGATATGGTAGAATCAAATACTCTTCATAGATGGAAGGGTCTTAATGTGCTTTACCAAAATTGTGAATTTCTTGACCCTGGGATCTCACGTTTCCCCCTGGGGAGGGGTTAAACTTTACTATAGTTTATATAGGGAAATCAATTATGGTTTATAATGGCAAATGGTACTTTGAATATAACATGTTAATAACTTGATTGGAATTATAACCTTGAGTTGACAGTTTGATACGTTGAAAATTTTGAGCCAGTCCTACCCCCAAGGGCTGTAGGGTAGGGCCCAAAGGAGTCTGTGTGCTAAAATTTCTTCATTTTCCTTGTTTAGAATCAGAGGTGCTAGTTTCAAATAATTTTTAGTCTTAAATCTGTATGCTAGATATTGAATAAGGTGGTTTTATTGTTTTTTGTCACTTTGAATAATATTTCTGTACATGTTAAAAACAAAAACAACTCGCTGTATAAATATATCAGGTGACCGTTAAGGCCCATGGGCCTCTTGTTCCTTTAAAACGCTACTTGTTCTGAAGGCCCAGTAGATTTTGACTAAATTTAGTCTGGAGCATCCTTATGCCAAGGAGACTCAATTTTATATAAATGGTGGCTGTGGACCCCCTGGGGGCAAAGGAGTGGGGCCGAATAGGGGAAATTAATGTAAAACCTTTAAAATCCTTCTACTGTAGGAAAGAAAGGATTTTATTCTAATTTGGTCTGACACATCCTTGGGCCAATGGGACTCAATTTTGTATAAATGGTGTGTGTGGCCCCCCTGGGGGCAGAGGGGATGGGGCCCAATAGGGTAATTAGAGGTAAAAATCTTTGAAATCCTTCTTCCACAATAGGGATTAAGGGATTTCATCCCAATTTTGTCTGGAGCATCCTTGTCCAAGGGGACTCAGTTTTGTATAAATGGTGGGTTGGGACCCCTTGGGGTCCGAGAGTTGTGGGGCCCAATAGGGAAATTAGAGATTTAAATCTTTAAATTCTTTCTTCTTCTGTACCAAAGGAGGGATTTTATGTAATAAGAATAATTTCCCATGGTTGCTTTATCATCCAGGTGAGAGATACAGGCCCTCTGGGGCTCTTGTTTAAACACTTGACTTCAGTGATTTTGAAAATGGGTCAAGGTCATTTATCGCAGTCATTTATCCCAGCTTACAACTGGCCAAATATCACCAAAGTGGGCCTTTTGGTTATCCAAAAGAAATTGTTCATAGAGTTTATGATCATTTGACCCAGTGGCCATAAAAGTGGGAAGAGGTCATTCTTTTGTACAAACTTGGTAGCCCTTTATTCAAGCATGTTACTAGCAAGATATCATAACCTTGGAACTTTTGACCCCAGTGACCTTGAATGTGGGTTAATATCATTCACTTTGACAAAAGGCCCAGATGGCCTGTATCACTCACATGGATATTTAAGCAATCATAGGAAAACGTTCTCAATAAAAGTAATTCTGCAAATATTTCCACATCTATCAATTAATCTATATTGAAGGAGGAATTTGAAGACTTTTCTCTGGTAACCTCTATTGAGCCCCATCCTGCTGCACTTTGGAGAGCCATACCCTTTGTTTATACAATGTTTGAAGTCCTCTTGGTCCAAGGGCATTTCATACTTAATTTGGTGAAGTTAAGGTAATTTCTTTAAAGGCACTCTTCGTTTTTGGGAAGGAGTTGCTTAAACGTTTTTACATATTTGATGCCTGTGACCTTGAAAGTAGGTCAAGGTAATTTATTTGAGGACAGGTTATTGCACCTCATGACAACATGCTATTCCCTAAATATCATCACCATATGTCTCTTAGTAATTCAGAAGAAGTCGTTCAAGTCTTATAACATATTTGACCCCTGTGACCATCAATGTAGGTCAAGGTCGTCCATTTGAGGAAACTTGATTCTGTTAGCTTTGTAACCCTTCTTTCAAACAAGAGGCCCAGAGGGCCTGTATCACTCACTTGAATATATGTTTAAAATAATTGGTATGAAGTAAAGATATAGCACTTCATGGTAGGTGCTGTAAGTACATATGAAATTTCAGAAAGATACATCAAGTACTTGAGATATAGCAAGAACAAACTCCAAACAGAGCACCACCACCACACTCGCTGTTTATACGAAATTAGGTCCCTTTTGCCCAAGGATGCTCCAGACTAAATTAGGATAATATCCCTTAACCCCTATGGTAGAAGGATTATAAAGGTTTTACCTCTATTTCCCCTATTGGGCCCCACCATCAGGTCCCAGGGGGGCCACTCCCACCGTTTATACAAAATTGGTTCCCCTTTACCCAAGGATGCTCCACACCAAATATGGACCAAATCCTTTCATTCCTACAGAAGTAGTAGGATTTTAAAGAACTGCTATATTTCCCCTATTGGGCCCCACCCCTCAGCCCTCAGGAGGGCCACACCCACTGTTTATACAAAATTGGTTCCCCTTTACCCAAGGATGCTCCACACCAAATATGGACCAAATCCTTTCATTCCTACAGAAGAAGAAGGATTTTGAAGAATAATTTGCTATGTTTCCCCTATTGGTCCCTTCCCCTCAGGCCCCTGGGGGCCAGATCCACGGTTTATACAAAATTGGTTCCCCTTTACCCAAGGATGCTCTACACCAAATATGGACCAAATACTTTCATTCCTACAGAAGAAGAAGGATTTTGAAGAATAATTTGCTATGTTTCCCCTATTGGGCCCGCCTTTGAGCCCCCAGGGGGGCCAGACCCACCATTTATACAAAATTTGTTCCCCTCCCCCAAGGATGCTTCTGACCAAATTTGGTCCAAATCTGCTAATTCGTTCATGAGTAGCGTTTTAAAGGAAAAGTTGACGGACAGACGGACGACGGACGCTGCGGTATGGCATAAGCTCACCATGGTCCTTCGGACCAGGTGAACTGAAAACCTTGTTCCACCATCAGTTTTAAACACAACAAAACATTCTTTAAAATTCAGTTAATTTTATTTTTTATTACATTCACCCATTTGGACACAAATTACGATTATCTACATATCACAGTATTAGGACACATGGTCTGAATCAGTGAAGCAATCGGAGCCGGAAACCGCTCAATGAACCATATAATGTATTCGTGTCAGGCATGGGCGACTCATAGACGGCAAATAAGGCGAACAAATGAACACAAAATGATCAAACAGGTGCTTAAAAAATATATTAAAAAGTGAAATCCTAGTCATTGGAGGCCTTCACTAGATTGACACTTGGTCATGTGATCATCCAAGTTCACATGGTCATGTGACCATCAGAGTTCACATAGGTCATTTAAAAAGTGCATGAATGATTAAATATTTTGAAATGGAAGTAGCTTACTTATTTCTTGTGTGGGCTGCTACACAATTTCCCACATTATTACCATCAAGGTATACCCTCAATTATTTGAATTACCAAAAAATGAAATTTAGATGGATTGTTTTTTAATATTAACCCATTTTTGCAGCTGAAGAAAATATTATTGCAATATTCAATCAGTTTTGGGATCTGAAGCAAAATGATTGTCACCTGAGTAGATGTAACTACTGATCCACAAGTTCGGTAAAGAAATAACTACGTTTGTTCACGAGTTTTAGCAAAAATTCAAATACATAAATCAGCTAAATGTACATGTGCACAATGTTTAGTTACGAAGATTAAACAGATGTATACGATGATCAATTTTCAAGTAAAATACACTGTATTAACATTTACAAATGTTTATACCATAAGGAGTAAAACTGTTTCACTTCCATGTTGAGTTCTATACACGTTATACAATTGTAGACGACTGTTTTAAACCACAAGATGATCGGTACAAAGTTCACATTGGAATGACAATTTTTTTTGGAATACCGGGTACCCAAAATGGAAACAAGTGTACAATTGAGTTAAGTACACAAATGTCGTATATATATATTATATAGACCACTATGGGTTCTCAAAATTTATCTTGTTACATCACATTTAGTGGGTAGTACAGGTAACGCATGTATAAGAAATCTAAACAGTCATCCACTTTTAAAAGTAAAATGATTAAAAAAAAAGAGGAGGGTGCTTTTGAAGCATCTTGTTCTTATAGCTTTTTTCCTAAATTCATATATTTTTAAAAAAGTTAACATTTCTTTCAGCAAGCATTACTGCTCCCCTAATCATACCATTTAGATAAATCATCTTTCATTCATAGGGCACGATGTATAAAGCACAATGATTCACTTCAAATAAAATGGTAATTTTGAATCATAACATCAAGGGGAAATTGTTTTATCTTGTAACTGCAAGTACATGTAAATCATTCAAATTCAAAATTCAAAAGGAAATCATATTTTTATAGAAGCATTACTAAAACTATGGTAAACAAAAAGCACTTGAAAAACAAACAGATGAATAAATGAATATGAATGAATGAATTAAAAATATCTTATTCGAACTTTTATAACTGACAAATAAATTAAAAAAAGAAAAAGGAAAACCAACAAAGAAAAACAACAAAAGTGGAATCACACAGACCTGTAAATGCATGCATTATTGCGATACCAATGCAGTACGGTGACAGACGATAAATCTGCGCCCATGTGCTAGTACATTGTATATGTATTTTGATTATGAGGAAGGTCAAGTACAATCTGTATCCGCTGACAACGTATCATTGACTACGAGAAGTTGTAAAGTGCGAAAAGAAAAAAAACTGCATGAGATCAAACAACTATCATCCCTATATACTACACACTGTAATGTATTTGTTACAAGCTTTAGCTAATTGGTCAGAAGCTTTAACCAATATCTGATCTTGTGTTTCAACCCAATTCTCACAGCGGAGGAACTTGGAGCAGAGATGTATATACTTCATGGCTTTATTCATCTCTGCTTGGAGCTGGGTGTAAATTCTACAATTATTCTCAGAACAAGCTTTTATCTAACTATGAATTTTGTTTAAATTCTACTTTTTCTGAACATGTTTTTATACAACCAAAAATGGCCTTTAACATTTTGTTCTTTAGAATTGAGTTCAGATATAGAATATATACAGAAGAGAAGGAAAATATTTATGAAGCAGTCACCAAATACATAATCAACTCTTTGTCCCCATCTCACTTCCAGGGTTATAACACAGGAAAACGTTCACGGTCAAATCTTTATGAGTGACCACGAGCAGTCTACAGCCAGTATGACGTCATCTTAATCCTTTGACAACGGTCAACAACTGTCCACTTCACCAATAAGTTCATAGTACGTAATTTTACAGTAAAAAGGTTAAACTTGACCATGTCTGCACTACAACAAGTGTAGATTTGATAAGCCCCTCAGAGTAAAATTCTCCGACTTGAGCAAGGCTACCAACAGCTCCTTAAGTGATTATGAAAAATAAGTTATTTCCTCAGCACATCAATAAAGATGGCTAAGGTTAAGGTGCTTTGGGTTTCCCACTTTTACAAGAACAGGCCCTTCTGTGAGGTATTCTTTTAATTTTCATTCACATATCATTTCTGGTATACATCAAAATTTCAGAAATAAATCTGAATGAAATTGAATTAGCCTTGTAAAGACGGAGAAAAAAAATGTTTTAGCGGGAGCCAGTGTAGTGTTAGGGGTATTTGTGTCATATCTGATGCATTAAGTAATTACGTATTATCCATTGGCTTTAAATAATTATGTTTATTTTCAATAATAATAATAATAATAATGACAATATAAACTTCTCCAATGACAAAACAGAGTTGTCTATCACACGGCAAATGACATTTTTTACCAACTATCACACATGCAAGCACAAACAAAAACAGGGAAAACCAAGCGCTTCCTTTACCAGCCTCTGCTACCAAATAGATTATACTAACACCTTACACACTTATCTCCCTGGTGTGTTCATACCAATCACAGTTAGGTAATAGTCATTTCAAAGGGTTGTTCAACAGTTTTCTGTCGGAAAGTTGTGGTAATGTTACATTATGAAGGCAGCTTTTGCCTGAAATTATTTAAATTGTTAGTCTTTCCATTATAATGACAATTTAAAGGCCAACTTGTTTAATTAAACCATGTGTGATGGCATTTATAGAAGTATGAACTCCGTGAGACAAATGTTTCTACTAAACTGAGATCCATATACAAGGAGGCACAGTATTCCGTCTTTTCGTATTGCAGAGTTATCTACTCTTGTATGCAGGTATTGATCTATAACTCTGCAATACGCAAAGACAGAATTAACTAACAATGGTCATTTTCTAATCAGAATCACAGAGGAGCATCAACTGGAATAACAAACTTTCATGCCACAACAATCATACATTGTCTATCTTTCCTGATATTTCCTCTTAGGAATTAGATTTTATTAAAATCTTTTATCAAACGCCCTGTATTCCTTAACTGTTGATCTAAAAACTCCATGAGTTCGAGTTAGTGTTTTTTTTTACTGTATATCCATTCCTTGTTTTTAAATGTGTCTTGATAAATCTTCATTCAATTTTGAATTTATGCTAGAAAATTTACTTTAACATGTATTTGACACAGAATATAAGTAATAGGTAGTAGTTTATTTACCTGTGTCTGTTTCATGTAGACTTACTGCAAGTCTTAAAAGTGAAACCTAACTATTCCAAATTCCACTTTTATTGCATAGCACATTCAAATCATTAAGCATTACAACAAAAAATGGAATCAACTCATTACAATCACAAAATAGGAGAAAGAAGAGTGAAAAAGAAAATTGGCACATATAACTTTAAAATCTTTGGAAAATACAGCAATAAGTAACAGGTTTTTCATTATTAACAATGTTTTGCAAAATAAAGTTGGTTTAATGTGAACGAGCGACTCATTAAACAATTTTGGGGTTTACACACCCCATAATAACATAGCTAATATGTATTTTTTCACTGCTTATCAACAAACTTTGGGAGATAGCAGATAACTGTTGTCACAGATACTAATTTTCACAATCTGTTACGATTAAAAATAGCATGTGCTATAAGCGAACAAAAACAACTTCACTCAAGTTAGGAAACTCTACTGTCACAGTCACTCTTTAAAATTCCAATATTACACACACAAGAAATATAACAGCAGCTTACAAGTTGCCAATAAATTCTCCGATCTAACAGCCATTACTGAATGTGTACAGTGATGGGATCTAACAGCCATTACTGAATGTGTACAGTGATGGGATCTAACAGCCATTACTGAATGTGTACAGTGATGGGATCAGTATGGGGAGTGTAACATGGAGTCTATACATGGGGTTGGAAATCAACGCAGCAGTGTTTTAAATAAGGCAAAAAATAAACATGGTTTACCTATCAATTGTGTACCTCATTCTCATAACAATAAAACATTCTCGGGATTAAATGGAATGTGCATATTCACAATAACATATAAGTCTCTTGTGCAAGAGCATTATCAGGAAATGATGTCCTTTTTCTTTCATAATCTTCCCTACACCTCAATCAAAGGCTATCTCTCAAAAACATTTAATATTGTTCTCAAAATATCTGTCAGAATTCTTATACTTATACTTATACTTCGAAGCATTTATTTATTATCATTCAAATAATTTAAAGTATATTTTTTTTCTGGATAGTTCATTATGCTCTATTTTAAATGCTTAAACTTACAGCAGCTTGAAGTCATTTTCAGTTTAGAAAAAAATAATATTGAAACAATACAACAGACTCGAGTTTGGAGGAGTAGGTTTGGATTGAGGTAAAGAAACTATTTTAAAAGAAGGACAAAGTGTAGCAATACCATGCCACAAATATGTCAATTACATATGAGATGAAAAATATTTGCATACAATGCGTCAAAGACATGGGGATGTTTATAATTAATAGTATAATATATTAAAACTCTCCGAAATCCTGATTTCCATTAAGAGTTATCTCCCCTGAGGCCATACACTCTCATTCTTCATTAACTCTTCAGTTTGTGGTAAACGACACTTGAATTTAAAGGGAAAACACTACAACATACTCTTTGGCAACAGTATATCAACCCAACAGTACATCTCTGTCACGGGTCTGTGGTGTCCTAGTCAAGAATTCCAAAATTTCTATGAAACCCAGGTAACCTATATACTGTAGAATTTAAAAGTCTAGGTTAAGACACAGCAAAAAAAGTAGATTTCATCTCGGAAATTTCATAATGAACTGTTCTGACCTTTGAATTGGGAGAGTTCAAAAGTGTCGTCAGGGGTGAATAAGTTAAGTCCTAAACATTCTCAGAAATCACTGTTAATTGTTAGATATTGTTTGCCCTTTTTGAGTATGCCAGAAAATTGCATCTTAACTCAGCTTTTGCTTGCCAGAACCTGATATTTTCTTCTACAGTTTACTTCTTCAAACCGTCTTCACATTTTCTACCAACCATCAGAATAGTTTGTTTTAAATGAAGATCTTGATAAGATGGGTTTAAATTGAAATTTACTGTTGCGTTGTTGCTATTACAAAACATTACAACATTCTACTGTTGGGTTGAAATGACAAATTCTATGTAGAAGTGACAGCCAATGGCTTGACACACGATCAAGACACAGTAAAAGGGTTACATTTCCAGGACTTTTCTATCCTTTTCATTCTCTTGAGCTAAACTTGACGAGACATAATTCATATCCACCTTCTGGTCACAATGAAGCTGGGCTTGCTGACTTGAAGTTAAACACGATATGAATTATGTCAGAAATATCTTTCCACCCTTATCACTATAGAATTAAAGGGATACAATTAAACGAAAATGTGTAGGAGGTTTCTATTGCTAATGACAGATCGCTATATAATTTTTTTTGATTGCAGACATAAAGATTTGTTGTCCAGTAGTGACAATGCTGTTTGGGGTTCTAGTCTACACTTTAAAATCTAATTACCACAAACAATGTTCTGTGTTTTTCCATCTACATTCACAAGTGATCTGTTTTGGAGTTAATTCTTTTGACATTTTACCGTCATCACATTCTGTTCAAATTTTCACTAAACACCACTGGAACTGGCCCAGACCCTGCCACAGTCCATTTGTAACTAAGCTGAGAAACCACAAACTAATAAACGCAGTGGTGTTGGTGATGGTGGCGGTGCAACAAAACCGTCTCTGATGCATATAACAGTGTCTTTGTTAACTGCCAGTTGTGTGTGTGTACATGTGAACCAGTCATTATAATCCACCTGTCAGTTATATCTGTAGTAACTAACACTCTATATAACTAGCTCTTAGGGAAAGGGTTTCCCCGTTGTGTGAGTCCCTCAAAGCGTTTGTATGTATAATTGATGAACACCCAGTCTTTATACTTGGAATCTTTGTCCTGGGCTTCCTGGCCTTGTGGTTCTGGGTACGTTGCTGTAATACAGAACAACAATATCACTCACTACATTTTGTTTACATTTGAAATTACATTGTTTACATTAAAATATAAGCTCAGTTTATTGCCAAGGACAGAGGTAGATGGCGACAAATTGTGGATCCCTTATGTCCCTCCAGGGACGGAAGGAAAAGAAGAACGATGATGACCCCTTTTTGCAGTTAGAGAAAAAGAACAACTACATATTGTTCATGATAAGCACATGCTCAGCAATTAGCCCGTGCTTGGTAATAAGCCCACTCTTCTTATATGAACTGCAATATGGAACTTCAGTTTTAAATATTAATGTCGTATCATCTTCAGAATATTCAATACAGCCAGAATTGTAATACTTAGGTTAATACCAATTTTTACTCTATTTCTAATGGTCATCAATGACACTTCCTAAATTCTGGAGAAAACACTTCCACAATTCTAGACAGATTGTAGAAAAGGAAGCATTGAAAATGACTTTTTTGCTTAAAGTTCCCTTAGAATACTTACGCCACTTGAGATCAATTTCAGGAAAATCATCAAAGTTTGAGGTATCGTCTATACTTTTTACCTCCACCGGAATGGCCGCAGGCCTCTCTCTGTAAGATGACATCAAAACATGTAAGTATTTATTTCTTGAAAAGTGTAATAAACAATCAAACGTCAATGATACTGCCTTCCTGGCAAGCTAGCTTAACTAGCGATACGGTATAACCCAGAGAAATGCTCACAAGTTCAGCAAAGTTGAGTGTAGTCAGTGGCTGGATGGGTTCCCGCCAGCACTGAGGGTATGAGATGGAGTTCTATTCTCAGTCAAAACAAACTGAGAACTCTCCTAAAATCAAATGCCGATTGTAATGGGGGGGCCCCCACTACAAAAGTCCACAAAACTACCCCTGCAGATGCAAATGATGCTTATGGAAGATGAGTATAGTGTTCCGAGTCAAATTTTCTACCAAATTTGAATGAAATCTGTCAGTATCTAAATTTGACCAATCAGACGCTGTTGCAGCAATGTTGGTTGACCAATCGCAAAACAAAAGACACACTCATGTAAAGTTTCACTAAATTTTGGCTGCTAGTTTTTGAGAAAAGGGGGAAGAAAGTTGAAGATAAGGGGACTAAATGCAGAGTAATAACAGTTAGATTGATGGTAACAAATTAAAGCAGAGTTCTTTTGAAATGCTCCCAAAAATAAAAGTTGGCATATTCATTACATATATCACTATAATACAGAACCATATTCTGATGTATACCATATATATCCAGCAATAAGCCCATGTATCTGCAATAAGCCCACCCCTATAAATATGCCAACTAGTGCTACATATCAGTGATATGATGTGTTGACTCCTGGGCTTGTTGTAGGAAAACTACTGTAAGTATATACCTGATATGTTCCCAGTCTACTCCTTTGAAGAATATATCTGACTTTATTTCTTCTATACCATTAGCACCTAGCCTGTGTTCTGGATCACAGCAAAACCTGCAACACACAACAGTATAGAGATGAGGAAGTCAATTTGGCAAATAGTGGTATTTATTTTTATAATGAATATAAACATTTTTTACAACAATTATAGAACAATACAAAGGATATATAAGATAAAGCTTCAACATCTAGATTCCTTAGTTTTATTAAACAAACCATCTTTGATTCCTACAACTACCAATCTATGACCGTAGGCAACCAGGACATTGGTTCTCTCCCACTCAGATAGGAGTCCAATTTTTAGATACAAAACAAGCTTTTTTAAAATATACTAATCTCTCTTGTTAGTATGGATGGAAGTACAAATGGGTTGTTAATATGGACATCAACAGAAATACTTTCTTGCATCTTAAGTAGCAAATAAAATAAAATTCCATTAGAGATAAACTCACATTTTTTTTTATCCAAAGAATTAAATATTTATCAGAAATTTCCAAAAAGAACTAAATAGATGAAGTCAATATAACATGGTAAGAATAGTTTAAATTGTATTCTCCTGTCTAACATTCTTTACATGGGGAGATAAATGTAAATTCTCTCTTTGAAAAATATTGCTGTCCATATGATAGATCGTATATGCCTACTTTTTAATTAAATCCCTAGCCTCATTTGATATAGGCATCTCCGGCGGGAAGATAAGAGTGTCTCTCCAGTTCATTACTTTCTTGTATGTCTCTTGTGGATTTTCAGAACAAAATGGTGGATACCCTGAAAGAAAGATGGAGAGTTATCTAAAATGTACCTTTGTCTCCTAACAAAACAAACAAACTTGGTGCGAGCTGTAAACAAAGGGGGATAACTCCAATAATAGGATCTAACATACCACATACATTGTATGAAGTAAACAGTTTAGCACTTTCAAAAATGCAAAGAATAATTTGTATTAAATAAGATGCCTACCTTAATTAATAAGGTATTATCTCAATTTGTTATATGAAACATTTGATAATTCATTTACTTAAAATTTTGTAAATCTTTTAGAATTACAATGTGTCATCCATTTTTTTTAAAAATATAGCACAACATGTCTATCAAAAAACTTAATACTTAGAAAACGGTAAAAAGATGGCATTCGACTTTGTGTTATTATACATTACTAGGTACATCTGATCTGTATAATATGCCTAATAAACCAGGCCTTCAGCTAGACTCCATCATATACATGAAACCAGTATAATTTGAAAATTGCTGCAACCAGACCTGCAGCTACACCCCACTCTTACATTTCCATGTAACATGTGTAACCTAAGATATGGTTTTGGAAGTGTTAAGTTTTAGTTTAGAAAGATTTTGTTGTACCTATAAACTATAAACCATAACCATTATTATCAAGTTTTGGAGGCCAGATTTAAAAGGGTCAAGAGTTAGAGGTCAAGGTTCATACTCACCTATCATCATTTCATACATAATGACTCCTAGCGACCACCAATCACAGCTGCTTGTATAACCTGTCTGGAGAAACACCTCCGGGGCGATATAGTCTGGGGTGCCAACCGTGGAATATGCCTGTGAACATAGGTGGTTATTTAGTTCAGATGTCTACCTCTAAAATGGACGTCTACACAAACCACAATCTACAAATAACCTTACTATATTTAGACCACTGTATGTAATCATATACACTGTATACAGGGCTATACAAAGGTCCTAATATAGTCTGTGCATTTGGTTTAAAATCATAATCAATCATCGGTTTGTAATCAGAAATAGTAAACCGATCAATGATTGATTGCATACTGTATAGTAGTTATATTTCGCTATATTCGCGCTTTGACTTATATCCACGAATTCTAAACAACAGCGAAATTATCGAAAAATGCTAACCACTTTTACATGTTGAAAATACTTTCAAGGTCTAACCCTTAAAGGATGACACTCAAAATACTTTGAACGACACATGGGATTCGGGTGCAAAGCAAAATTTAACCCCCGGCGAATATGTACTGAATACGCAACCGCGAAATATTGACCCTGCAAATTTAACAAGAGGCCCATGGGCCTTAACGGTCACCTGAGTCTATAGTATTTATTTTTGTTGTTGAAATATGTACCAATTTGAGTAAAAAATAGTATAATGTTAACTTAACTTTGTCAGGACCATGAGCTGATCATTCCTAGACCAATTTTAAGTGAGATCGGCCTATTAGAACTTAGTAGCAAAATAGCGGCCATGGCAGCCAAATTGTATTTCTGATTGACCCGAAAAATAACAACACTTTGTCAGGACCATGAGGCGATCATTCCTACCAACTTTCAGTTCAATCGGTCCAGCAGAACTTGACTTTAAGTTTGAAATAGGTTTTCAAAATGGCGGCCGTGGCGGCCATATTGGATTTCTGATCGACCCGAAAAATAACAACACTTTGTCAGGACCATGAGGCGATCATTCCTACCAACTTTCAGTTCAATCGGTCCAGCAGAACTTGACTTTAAGTTTGAAATAGGTTTTCAAAATGGCGGCCGTGGCGGCCATATTGGATTTCTGATCGACCCGAAAAATAACAACACTTTGTCAGGACCATGAGGCGATCATTCCTACCAACTTTCAGTTCAATCGGCCCAGCAGAACTTGACTTTAAGTTTGAAATGTAAAATGTTAACGGACGACGGACGACGGACGACGGACGACGACGGACGAAAACGGATAGCAATAGGTCACTTGAGCTAAAGCTCAGGTGACCTAAAAAGCTATACAGTAATTGGTTTATAATTTTATGTCCCTGAATACCTAAATAAAGTAACAACACTATTGTAACATCATCAGACAGGGTTTTACATTACTATACATTAGGTTTCCGTCAACTAAAGATCGACATCAATGGCATAAATAACTTTCAATGCATACAGAATGTTGTATACATTTAACATTTGATTTCAGTAATGAACTGATTATATCAATATTAGAATTTGTAATTGATAATCAGGATCAGAATGGGAAACCGATCAGTTTTCGATTACAATCAATCATCAGCACATCGCTACTGTGTAAAGAGTCGTTTTATATACTGTATACAAGTTCACTATTTGGTCAGGAGATATCAGTCCAGGTATATTCAGCTAGGACTAGTATGCCATAAACAACTGGTAACAGCTGGTATAGTACATGTAAATTACGTCTTAATCGCAAGCACTGCCAGCCACAGGGTGTGACATCCCACCACTGTAACACTAAATAATATCCTTGTACACATTCAGTAAAATAACAAGAGGCCCATGGGCCTTAACGGTCACCTGAGTCCTACAGTATTTATTTTTGTTGTTGAAATATGTACCAAATTGAGTGAAAAATTATTAAGTATAACATTAACTTAAGTTTGTCAGGACCATGAGCTGATCATTCCTAGACCAATTTTCAGTTAGATCGGCCTATTAAAACTTGTTTTTAAGTTTGAAATAGGTGTTTTCAAAATAGCGGCCATGACAGCCAAATCGTATTTCTGATCGACCCGAACAATAACAAAACTTTGTCAGGACAATGAGTCGATCATTCCTACAAAGTTTCTGTTCATTCGGCCTAGCAGAAGTTGACTTTAAGTTTGAAATAGTTTTTCAAAATGGCGGCCGTGGTGGCCATATTGGATTTCTGATCGACCCGAAAAATAACAACACTTTGTCATGACAATTAGTGGATCATTCCTACTAAGTTTCAGTTCAATCAGCCTAGCAGAAGTTGACTTTAAGTTTGAAATAGTTTTTCAAAATGGCGGCCATGTCAGCCATATTGAATTTCTGATTGACCCGAAAAAAATAACATCACTTTGTCAGAACCATAGGTCGATCATTCCTATTAAGTTTCAGTTCAATCGGCCAAGGAGAACTTGACTTTAAGTTTGAAATAGTTTTTCAAAATGGCAGCCATGTCTGCCTTATTGGATTTCTGATCGACCCGAAAAATAACACTTTGTCAAGACCATGAGTCGATCATTCCTACAAAGTTTCAGTTCAATCGGCCTAGCAGAACTTGACTTTAAGGTTGAAATAGTTTTTCAAAATGGCGACCGTGGTGGCCATATTGGATTTCTGATCGCCCCGAAAAATAACAACACTTTGTCAGGACCATGAGTCAATCATTCCTACAAAGTTTCAGTTCAATCGGCCTAGCAGAACTTTACTTTAAGTTTGAAATAGTTTTTCAAAATGGTGGCCGTGGCGGCCATTTTGGATTTCTGATAGACCCGAAAAATAACAACACTTGGTCAGGGAGATGTCAGTAACCTTCCCATGAAATATTAATGAAATCCCTTTGCCAGTATTTCAGCTTAAGTTGAAAATGTAAAATGTTAACGGACGACGGATGACGAACGACGCATGACGACGGACGAAGACGGATAGCAAAAGCTCAGGTGATCAAAAATTTGATTTCTGCATACCAACGCTCTCCGATTCCTTTTCCAACTCTCTGCCCTCCTCTTGGAATCCATGGGGTTGGAACCTAGAAATGTACAATAAAAGGAATTTAATTTTTGGAGATACCTCTCCAAAACTAGAATTTTATTGTCTAAAGGGTCAGAGGGACATGATGCGACGGATATGAGTAACAATATATGCTATTAAATTTAATGTCTGTTTAGAGATATCCAAGAAGCAATCATGAACCTTCGGAGTTATGATATACTGTAAAATAAGATATTTTCGTGGGACTCAAGTTTCGTGAGTACATGGATTTGTGGATTATGTGTACTCACTCAAACGGAGAATTTGTTTGTATAAAATTGAAGTTTTTTCGTGGACCTTTCAATTGGTGAATGAAGATTTCCCATGAAATCAACGAAATTAAAAACCCCATCAACATTAGTGATTTCACAGTAAATGTTACACATAGGCATTAGAAGTGAATGTAAGGTACATGAGCACATGATTTTCATAACACCAAATAACAAGGTTACCGCGAGCGGTATATAATACGCCCGTCACACATTGAATGAGCAGTTGTTTGTATGATTGAAATATATGAAGTATTTGTGAGTAATTGATATTAAAAGAGAAATCATTCAACATAACTGGTAGATCAATGAGTGCAATTCAACATCATGGAACGCATGCATCGCATTAATGAAACCAAGGGGAATAACTCCAGTAATTACGGTCGGATAATGGCGGTTATCGAACTTGTCCGAGGTTTCATGGTAATTAACCTTGTTGTGAAGTTTGAAGTTAATCCGTTAATAATTACTCGAGATATCGAGCGGACATCGTTTGCCCGCCCGCCCGCCCGCTCACGTGATAACATAATACGTCCCCGTCTTCGACGGACATATAAAAACCTATTGATAGAAACCAGCCATTTGTTATACAGTCCCCTAATCAAATGTTCGTAGCACTATTAAAACAAATCAGCAACATATTGTTTTCTTGCGAAAACTTTAATCATAAATCTCAATTAATCTTTCCTGATTCTTCTTTTCGGAGACTGCTAGAAGATAGCACGCTAGATCTCGTCACTCACTTTTGTTGTAGTCACAGAAGTCGCCCGCCTTGGCCTGGGACAGGTCTTTGTAGTAGTCGGTTCTATGGGATTTTTTACGGCCCGTACATAGACCAAAGTCTGATAATTTGATATGTCCCTGAAAATTTAAAATAAAACATCATTTCATAATATATTATCATCTGAAACACCAGGGGAAGCTGAAGGCAGGTTTAGCATATTGTATTGTGGTGAATCGGTACGTAGCACACATTTATTTTTTAAGTACTCAAATTGCAAGCTATTCCTGCAAGTTATTTTGGCAGTTACTTGAATTCGTGATTGGGAGGATGCTATTTCATTATTGATAGTACTTATTTCTGGAAATAATATTCATGAAAGATTTAACCTCATGAATGGGTCTCCTCGTTAATCTCTTCCAAAAATAGAGTGATGTTCAGTTTGATGAAGCTATTTTTAGCACATTAAGACTGTATCTTTAACACATTCATCCCTGAAAATACATTTGAACTCCAATTCCAATTCAAAGGTTGGAATAGTTCATTATGAAATTTAAGGGGTGAATGAGTTAAAACACCTTTAGCATATTGTACAGATACAGTAGAACAGTGTGAAGGTTTTGCAAAAGAGCATCAATGCATTAAGTTGTTACTTGGCATTCAGTAGTTAAAGAACTAACGTTTTTTTTTCCCTGAAACTGAAAGGGTCAAAATGCATGTAAATTAGATATGGCCTTTTCAAACGCAAGAGTCAAATCTAATTTACACGAGCCAAGAACATACATTTTTGGACTGCATACACTGTGTTGAGCCCTCACCTTGGCGTCTAATAGTAAATTGTCTGGTTTGATGTCCCGGTGTATGAAGCCCAGTTTGTGGATGGAATCAATGGACAGCACTGTCTCCGACACATAGAACTGTGTTTGTTCCTCCGTCAGTGTGTCCTTCTTCATCAGCAGTGTCATCATGTCTCCTGCAAAGTTCAAGGGTCAAGGTCACTATTCAACATGTTGGTGCAAAAGTCAGATTCACTATTCAATATGTCCAGATCATTGTTGTTGTATTTTTAAACGACAAGATTCGGATCTCAGTACGTAAACAGGAAATCTGTACGATATTTAATGTCTGATCTACAGTGAAATTAAAAGTTAACATTTCTGGAGGGTTTTACATTATCATAACAGTTATTGTAATACAATAAAGTGCAAGACATTCATGAGACAGAAGTCAATCATTATACAATAGCAGGAGAATTTCAATGAGTTGTGAGGAAGCCTTGGTGTTGTGGGAGAAAAAGGAATACATTTTATTTTTAGAAGTGCAACCTTCTGACTCTATCCTACTATCTAATGTACCTCCAGGCAGAAACTCCATTATGAGGTATAAGTTTTGTGCGTCCTGGAAAGAGTAATACATTTTCACAACCCATTGATGATCTGCCTCTACCAGCACATCTCTCTCCGCTCGTACGTGGGCCACCTGTAAAGTCACAGACACCATATCATCACTGCTTACATACATGCTATATTTAACAATTTGAAAGAGACTCATGAAAATTACTTCAGAAAAAATCCTCTCGTGTGGGACATGTTTCTCATGAATTTCAAACTGTCCCACGAAATGAAAGAAAATTTGGTGAATTCTTCACTAGAAACAATAACAATAGCAGTGCTTACAAGTCAAGATTGAACCCTAAATTTCAATCACCATTAACAAGAAGGTAACTAGGTAGGGACAGTTGACAAGAAAGCCTCAATAGCATCTTACAAACCAGAACCAGGAAACAACATATTAAACATAATAACTTAAGTCTATCAACATTGATAAGTTTTTTACCTGGTCTTTATCCAGCATGTCCTGCTTTCGTAGAATTTTCATTGCGTAAACATGTCCCGTATCCTTTTTCTGTACTAGTCGCACCTGTGGAGATTAAAACGAAAACTTTTATGATTTTGTTTATTAATTTATTTATTTTTTGCATACAGCAGCTATATTACAAACTGAAAAGTTTGAACACGTTGACAGATAAGTTTAGAAGTTTTAGGCATGGTACTTTTGACAAACTGCACTCGTCATATTAAGATACTGCAAATACAGTAATTTGTCTAATACCAGGTTATAACCAACAAATCTTATCAATAAATTTTGTAGTGTATACAAGTTTGAAGGACTGTGGATACAGAAGTAACAAGAATTGGAAAATGCATCTTGGAATTCCAACTCTGAGCCTCCGAACACCTGACAGATGTATCACCCTGTTTATAACCCACCACTCTAATCAGGGGTACACATTAATATGGACCCTCCCACCTACTGATGCTGTCAGATGTTGCAATATTTTTTGCTTAAATGCAGGACATTTTTATTGGGAAATTTTGAAGAGGTTTTGGGAGTACAGTAATAGCAACATTTCCAATTAGGCTGAAATTCGGCAACAAAAGGCCCTAGAAAAAGACCTTCCAACAGGAAAAGATGTCAACACCCAATATACCTACCACACTAATCAAGCTATTCATAGCCTATTATCAACCTAACTCTATAGCCTGATGTTGTCTTCCTTTTGGAATAATGAGGCACCCTTTGTTAAAGGAAGGTGTCTGTCTTCGGCAGTGAAACAAGGCCAAATTAATCTTATCAATGGACCCTCCTCCCCCCACCTGTTGGTTCTACCTGCTGTTTCGATGCTCCACTGTGAGGAGGGGTTACTATCTAACCCCTGATAGGTTACCTAAAGCAGGTTCCTTTTAAGTTTAAGCCATTTCAATTTGTTTAGATGATGTTTGTAAGATACTGCCCATTTAGTGTAAACATAAGTAAATTACTAAGGTGTACATGAATACATCTCTAAGGCATGCCAAGTAAACCTCCGGCTGCCAGCTGTCTAAATTCATCCAGTGCAGGCCAAACAATATATATGTTAACCGTGACTCTTACCTCCTTATTTTTTGTGCCTACTTGTAGTTTCATTTGTTATTTTTATGAAAGGCTACTAGAACAACAATATTTGTTTGGCCAATTTCATTGTTCTATGTAGTATTTGTTTGAACCAAATGTTTTTTGACAACCCGTGTTTATAATGTCTGTAATTCTTTTTTAACTTTCAAGGCCTTAGAAATTCAATGAAGTATAATATGTGTCAGTACTATTTACAGTGATAAAGTCTGGGGTTTTTCAAATAGAAAATCCCTTTTTGTTTAGACATCAACAAAATCTTAAGGTGTGAACAAAAAAGTTTTACGAAACAAAGAATCATAGCATGACTGGTTTGAGATACTACACAACATTTCTTTACTAGCTAAAGAGGAGTAACCAGCCCTGACATTTTGCCAAGGATAATCGTAGCCTATTATTACCAGTCACATGTATTTTCATACTTCCTGTTTCATTACCGTCTATCAAACAGCTATCTAAGCCGTAGTGTTTTATATTGCTAGAGTGAAAATACAATATGTACACTTTTTTCATCACTTGTATACATATCTAAGTGGCAGTGCCAGCTTTAAAATTGGCCGTCAGCCATACTGAGTTTGGTTCCCAATCACGAACGAGGCTATCGGTTGTCATTTCTTGTGTGGTTTGTCACCCCTGAAATTTCATAATGAACTATTCCAACCTTTGAATTGGAAGAGTTCAAATGTGTCTTCAGGGGTAAATGAGTTAAATACTACCTCGAGAATAGTAGGTTCATTTAAGATGGTCACCTTGTCAGATTTAGCCATCAAGGCCCCTGTCCTACTGCAAGCAAAACATTAGAAAATTCCACAATATTTTTTTGTACATAGTTACCCCCCTTTGATTTCACTTTGGATATAGTGTAACTTATGGCAACTGGGCCAGGATACAACCATTGACAAGGTAGCTCAGTTGATAAGGGTTCGAATCTTGGTCTGGCCTCATTGGATTTTTACACTCAGAAACTGCTGTAGATTCTTTTTTATTGATTTCATCTTTATTAATTTTTCATTGAAGTTCCACAAGGTTTCAGTCTCTTTTCAGAAATGATTTATCAAAACTATAGTCATGCAAGGAAAAACATCTCCAAGGCATGGATACAGTTTTTGTTAAGAAGTCCTTTATACATTTCCCTCAAGTTATTGCCAAACTCCTTTATAATAACAGAACTCTCTTGACGACTGGTGACAGTTCATCAAGGATTTACTGTATATGGGACCTGCAAACACACCAATTGAGGACAGTATAACTACCGGGTATGACTTTGGATTAGAGGAGTTGGAATTTGTACACAAGATCTGACTGGTACTTGTTAATCATAATTTTGTTTTTCTAATTCCATTTTTTAAAAACTGTTGACGACTGAAATTTAATCCTTTCAAGAATCCTGTTGTAAAAGTTTGTATTTGCTGTAAACATGATTACATTATGTAATCTATTCTCAAACTCGACTGAATTAGGTAATCTAGTGTAAAATGTTTCAGCTAAGGTATCCACGCAAATACAAACTTTTATTGGAACGAGAACCACCGACCATACAGCTGCTTATAAACATGGACACAAAAAAGTGTTAAAACACTAGACAGGAAGCATCAGAGGTTTTGTGGACACCAAATACGTCTGCCAATAAAATTTGACAGGTGATAAATTAGGACTTTTCAATGGGGGACAACAAAGCCCTTGACCTTGATGGAAAGCACATTCAAATCTGGTAATACTATCTGAAGTACCAATAAATTACATTTCAACGATCTGTCACAATTTTTCTGATTTACTTTCTGTGTAATTTAGTAAGTTCTAGTTATTTTCTTATTTTACTGCTCCATTTGTGTTTTTGTGAATATTCATGTAATGAATTCGTCAGCTGAACAACCTTGTATCAGGCCGATAATGCCACCAACCTTATTTTTCTAACAAGAATGACACTGATAACACCAATATTGACTGCCATAAAAGTTTAAGCTGTAAACCTATTGGTGACTTTTAACTAGAAACCTATATTCACAGCAATAAACATGAAGCAGGATCAAGTCAATTCAATTTACATAAAATTTAGGATTACAGCTTTTTATAGCCCTATTTAAAATATGTTGCCACCCTAAATACGTTAATCTTAGTTTGTCAACTCCCGAACACCCGGACACACCTCTTCAGTACGAACTTCTACAACAGTCAAAAACCGTACTAATGAAATATTCATGATCGTGTAAAAGAGCTGTTCTCTGTCTCCATACCTAGGAGTGCTTGTTTAACCAATAAATAACGGAGGAAGGAGACAATCTCATTCCCTGAACATTACCTCATCTTATATATCCTTTTATGAAAACAATAAATCAAGGTGGTAACACAACCATTTCCTACAAGCTTAAAAGGCAACCAGTCACATTCAAACAACCAGTCACATTCAAGGCAGCCAGTCACATTCAAGGCAACCAGTCACATTCAAGCAACCAGTCACACATTCAAGGCAACCAGTCACATTCAAGGCAACCAGTCACATTCAAGGTGCAACCAGTCACATTCAAGGTGCAACCAGTCACACACTCAAGGCAACCAGTCACATTCAAGGCAACCAGTCACATTCAAGACAATCATCTTCTTATTCTTAGAATCTCAGTATTTAAAAACAAATCTAAGATGAAGAAATAATAAATTCATTTGACACAATTTTTTATATGGAACTTGTTAAAAAGTAAATCCATTTTAGAATAAGGTGGCATACCTCCTTAAATGAAACCTTTACATCTGCATGCTGGGGTGTCTGATTTCATTTTACAATGCTAGCTGGTAAGCAGATTTTGACAAATAATGCTAGCCAAACCAATATGTTCATAGTAAATACTGAAAATGTTCACCGACCACTGACATCAAATCTACAAAACTTGGGGTGGAGTTAGTGAGTTGTACACCCCTGGTATGTAATGGGACCTCAGGGAAGGTTGGCCTGCTGTGGAATACAGCTATATAGGCTATTTCTGTCACGTATATGTAAACACAGATTTTAATATCTATAAAATATTTACATAAGCAGGGAAGATCATCCATTCTACCTAAAGCGAATATTACCTGAATCTCATTACATTTCCATGTTGAGTATGTCACTATTGGCTGTATATTCATTTGAAACCTGTCCAAACTGACCCCTGTAGTCTTGAAACCTGTATACATTGACATTCTACTAGATGACTAATTCAACTAAATAATAAAATTTTGAAATATCCGGGCCTCAGGAAATAGACAGAAACATTTTATATAGAAAACAACTTGCAGCACTTAGAGTTACGGGTTTATTTATGTCGATAAAGTATCTCCGTTTTACATGTATATGTTATGGGCGTTCAGTAGCACAGTATACACCAGTAGTCTAACTGTCGGATCTAAAGTAAACTCAACTACGTTAAACAACCCAACTCAGCCACAAAGGACTAACCCAAACATTATCACCAACCCATAAATATTTACTGTATTTCTATAACTTCTGCAGACAAGTGTAATCCATGCTCTTTGAACTTGTATAAACAGTTCTAATACAATATAAGAAATAGAGTTTTAAACGTATGTATTTCATTAGAGGGCTTGTTAACTTCGGTGTGTTACTGTTTGAAGAGTCCGACTTATCGGTACAGTACGATACCAGACATATGTACAGTGTATCTACAAACTTTGTCCTTTTAAAGTTTATAAATTTATATTTTATATACTTGAATTCCAACAACAGAGGTTAGACAAGAGTTTTACTATGTAATCTGAGGCTTTTTAGGGAACGGATGTCTCAAAACTAATCATAAACAATAAACAACAATGAAATCTAACACTGGTCAGTATTTGGAAAATCTGAACTTATAACAAATATTTCTTATATTTTCTATTTCATTTTTTAGAAGAAAACTAATGCAAACCACACAAATGTATACAGCCATAATTAAATGATCAATTAGTGAAATTCAATGCTCAGTTTGATACTTTCTAGACATATTTGTTAAATTTAGGGGGCTTTTAGTGTTTCTTCATTAGTTTTTGGACTTTTCAAGGCCAACCCCGGTTTTCAGGGTCCTTTGAAGACTTGTATGAACCCTGAACTATGTTCATATCTGTAAGAAACAACAAGGTCTCAATTTCACAGACAGAAACAGAAATACCAGAGGTGGTCAACAACTAGGGCATCATAATATGACCTTGACCCATCACCTATAATACAAATTATGTAGGTCAAAATAAGTATTTTTTATAACATTGCACACAACTAACATCTTTAGTTTATACATAATCATCTTAATCTTGTATTTAATCTTAAGTATAAAGCTTGGATAAAAATTGTACACTTTCAACAGCTTATTTTTTTTATGAAACTATTAAAGGTTTTGAAAATTTCTGTTCTGTCAAATGCAAACTGAAGTTTTGCTGCCGACATGTTGGACAGTTAAAGCATAGGAAATGATGTTAAAACCTCCACACTGTTCCCCTCTGATAAGGACTTCTATTTGAATAGTTGACAGGTTTGCCAGGGCTGTTCATCTCTCTATTTTATCTAGAGTGGTCTGCAAATACACCAACACAAGTAGCATGTTCCTCAGGATTAAGCCAATAAAACATGTGTCATCCTACTCGGAGTTCCTTTTTATGTGGTTTTAATGAATTTTTATTAATCTTTTACATCTGTAATGGAATTAGACTTGGGCGATCACCCGCAACCACGTTACTTATTTGGTTAGATCGTTTGTCTAGATTTCTGAGGCCACATGTTCGAATCCCGGTCTGACCATGTATTTTTTCTCCCGTGTCACACATGATAAGAAACCGATAAAATTGATGAAAAAGCAAAAATAAAGCTTGACAACACACAATTGGCCAGCAGGTCTTCTGATCTTCCAATTTATACATCAGTACATTTATTTGCGATACATACATTGAGCATGAATGACTCTTTATCTTCATAAAACAGGGAAAGAAAAGAATATTTACAGATGAAGCCGACTCTTTCCTATATTCGAATTTTCACATCTTACAAATAATTACCGACAAGTAACGGACAAAATGCAGGCAAAAATAGAAAATTCCCCTTGACACAAATATAGAATATGCATAATTTAGCAAAGACTTCTCAGACAGTTTTTTTATCATTATAGCAGAAAGTTACAACAGCACCTCATGAAGTGAAAACTTTATCCTTCTTGCCTACATGTGCAGAAGTGTTGACTAGGGAAAATTGTAAGAGGGAACAAAACTATAGACAATATTTAATTTGATTTGAAACATTTTCCGCCCAATCAGTGGTAGATCTGATCGCTGTTTCATCAGTCAGTGACCCGGTGCCCCGAGCTAATCATTTCCAAATCATTACACAATAACAACACAAGTGTTATCAACGCTCATGAATAAACCAGGGAGTTACCTCTCCCTCGGTGTATAATCACTGGTAATTTCACAATTCATGTGACCCTTGTGACTGGACAATAAACTTGTGCTACCTAGCCTGGCCTAATGATTGGTGCAAGTCTCATTTCATTCCAACAACAATAATGTTTTCTTTTTACAATCAATATCCCTTCACATGAGATAAAACATTAAAATCTATGCTAGGGTTTCAGATTTGAAGAGATTAAATATTCTAACATATTATCAAACCTCATGCATCAAGTGTAATGACAATCCAATCAGATGGACGGTTTCAGGCAGTCTTTTATTTTTCACATATATCTACATCAGCTACTGGCATAAACCATCAAAATCCACATAACTCTCTTTTTTTTGTCATTGACCAATCAGAGCAAAGTGCTGTCATCATAGACCAATCAGGGCTCAGGACCATTACCATTGACCAATCAGGACACAGCATTATCATTAACCTATCAAGACACAGTATAAGCAAGATTGAGCACACAATCTGTCCTTTCCTTTGTTATTCCAATAAGACTTGAACTTACATTGTATTGATTTTTTCCTTTCAAATTTCTTGCTAAAATGAGTAAACTTTGTTGGATCATATTCAAAAGTATACTTTGGTTTAACTCATTCACCCCTGAGGCCACATTTGAACTCTTCCAATTCAAAAGTTGGAATAGTTCATTATGAAATTTCAGGGGTGAATGAGTTAATGTACTGATAATATATAGTAAGGGAAGATAAGCATCAGGGTTCAATATACAACAAACTGACCTATCAAAGTATCATAAAAATTATTATTATCCTCAGAATGAAGTCATGTTTGTTTCCTGGACAAAACCAGATCAATGTTTAAAAATCACTACAATAGACTTCAGCAAAAGCCTTCTATTTTTTTTCAGGCTTTCAAAAACATTTGATGATTTTTTCCCTTGACAATCAGGAAATTTCTAAATGAATTAAATATAGGCACATTCAACAATCACATGCTGCACCCTAATTACATGTTCCTATTTAATGATCACTTGTAATGGACTCCAATCAAGTCTGCATTTCATTAGGGACTACTTCCCTGTTGTTGTTTTTTCATTTTAAAATGAATGAGAAAAATTGAGTAAAATGAAAACCCCTGTTAAAGCACACTGCACTACCGATATAAATTTCATGTTCATCTTTCCACTACCAGTTTATATACTGGTCCTGTGGCGCATTGGAAATCGCACTGGTCTTTCACCTAGGCGGCAAGGGCTTGAGTCCCTGTGATTGGACGTTTAAACTTAACCCCCCTAAAATTATATATAAGTTAAAGTTTTTGTTTTATAATTGTTGTAAAATAAATAAAGCTCATATTATACCAATTTATATATGGAGTTTGAATGTAGAAAGGAGAAGGAAGGGTGATACAATGGAAAGAATGATGCAGAGCTTGAAGGACAAATAAGAATGCACAAGAAATCGACAAGGTATAGGTAAGGTCAGGTATATGAAAGAGGGATGGCCAAGAGAGAACACAGACAGACAAACAGGAAGAGGAAAGGACAATATGGTGGGAGCTAGTAATAAAGATGGAAAATGAAACTCCTAAAATTCAAAACAATTTGGTAACCACTACCAGACAGGGCTGGATTCAAAATTGATACATACACGATTACAAATACAGGGGGCGTCACTCAATTTCGCATCAATAAATGGTGATTAACCGAGGAATTGTATTCCCTGCGGAACACTTGATCTTCCTATTGATCCACAAGGTCTTGTTCCTCCGGAGTGTGAATAATTGAAATTTGATGGAAAGGTGGCCATAAAAAACAGGATTATTGTTTTGGCGGGAACCGAATGAAGAACCAACATAATTCCTTTATAAGGTTGTTGCATGTTATTGCAAACCTTAGCATGAAGAATCACAGGAGCATAAAACAGAGGAAAGTCAATACAATGTAATTCCATCTCACGTCACAAGGGAGGTATTGTCTTCCTTGAAAAGCGAAATTCTGACATGATGGTTCTCTCTTGAACATTGGATAGTTGCTGAAGCAGACTACCTCACAAATCATCTCCTCAACCCATTCTTGTGATTTATTTGTTTTGTTTTAAGGATCCCTTTCCCACTGCAGGCAAAACACTAAGGAGTTCCACTGCAGTTTCTCTACACATGCAGTAACCTCCCCTTAATTTTTCAATGTCATGCTGGTATGAACGCAAATTGGTTAAATACATATTAGTTATGGTGTTCATACCAGCATGAACATTGGAAAATTGCTGTTCAATCCTTATATTTACGATCAAAATTTTCAAACGAGATTCCTAAATGTTTGCTTCTAGCATTATTCAAGGTGGGAGAAGAAGCTTCAAAATGACGCGGATCAAATGGGTTCATAGTTCTATAAATGCAATTTCTTTTGTTGACAGAAATAGAGGAACTTGCAATGCAGATGTAAATATAGAACTGTAGTTCAATTGAAAATTATTCTTACCTCACCAAAGGCACCTCGTCCTATAACTTTAATCGGAGAAAAGTCGTCTATATCTAGGCGAGATCTCTTTAGTCGCAAGAACTCTGTCTCTTTAGTCGCGTGTTGTTGTCGCCGTTCATTTTTCTGCAAAACACAAAAACATAAACCAGTTAGTTTTCTTCACCAGAAGACACATGAGCTCAAACTTGCACCTTAGATTTTAGTTTTATTGTCCAAGGATTTGGAGCATGTGTCAATAATTTAGATCTCAGGTTGTGGTTCTGTTTTCAGCTGAAATGAATTTTTGATTTAGTTTATTTATCCAAGATCATAAAATGTCTGCTGCCTAGAATTCGGGTTCTAGATTTCTGGGTCTTTGGGTTTATGCTCTGTAAAGAGTTTATGATCAAGGGTTTTGGTCTTCACTCTGGGTCTTAGGGATTATGCTCTAAGGAGTTTATTGCTCAGGGTTTGAGGTCTTCACTCTGGGTGTTTTGGTTTGTGCCGTTAAGAGTTTTTTGTCCATGGAAGGGAATCCAGGCTCTGGGTATTTGGGTTTGTGCCATTTATAGTTTATGGTCCAGGGTTTGGGATCTAGGCTCTGGGTAATTTGGTTTGTGCCATCTATAGTTTATGGTCCAGGGTTTGGGATCTAGGCTCTGGGTAATTGGGTTTGTGCCATCTATAGTTTATGGTCCAGGGTTTGGGATCTAGGCTCTGGGTAATTGGGTTTGTGCCATCTATAGTTTATGGTCCAGGGTTTGGGATCTAGGCTCTGGGTAATTGGGTTTGTGCCATCTATAGTTTATGGTCCAGGGTTTGGGATCTAGGCTCTGGGTAATTGGGTTTGTGCCATTTATAGTTTATGGTCCAGGGTTTGGGATCTAGGCTCTGGGTAATTGGGTTTGTGCCATTTATAGTTTATGGTCCAGGGTTTGGGATCTAGGCTCTGGGTAATTGGGTTTGTGCCATTTATAGTTTATGGTCCAGGGTTTGGGATCTAGGCTCTGGGTAATTGGGTTTGTGCCATTTATAGTTTATGGTCCAGGGTTTGGGATCTAGGCTCTGGGTAATTGGGTTTGTGCCATTTATAGTTTATGGTCCAGGGTTTGGGATCTAGGCTCTGGGTAATTGGGTTTGTGCCATTTATAGTTTATGGTCCAGGGTTTGGGATCTAGGCTCTGGGTAATTGGGTTTGTGCCATTTATAGTTTATGGTCCAGGGTTTGGGATCTAGGCTCTGGGTAATTGGGTTTACGCTTGAAAAAGTTCATGGTTGGCGTTTGTGGTCTTGGCTCCAGGTAACTTGGTTTATAATCTTTAAGAGTTTATGGTCCAAGGCATATATAAGACAATATTTCAATTTTTAAAAATGCCTGTGATCAGTAAAACTGAAAAGGACCCTTGCTTTTAGAGTATCAAACACTTCATAGATCTGTCAAATTGAAAACATTAAGCTCCCTTAACCAATATTGAAATGAAAATGTTCTTTAATATGTGTCAAATCCCTCTAGAATTAATAATGAAGTAATGTTTGCCACATTTTGCACTGCAGTTTAAAAACATCAAATTGAGTTACTGGTAAAAACAAAAACATTTAATGAAATGTTATCAAATATGGTTCTTTTTTCTACAATAAAGCAGAACACAGATGAACCCACATTACCAGAAAAAGCAGAACACAGATGAACCCACATTACCAGAAAAGAGCTAATTCATCTTTGACAACAACTATGGATCATTTCGATCAAAGTGGTGAATTACGCTACAATCTGGCCGGCTGTTAACTCAATGTATGATTATATCCCAAGTAAATATCGGGGACAAGACAACAAAACAGTGACAACATTCGTCTAACTGCAACAGATTTCTCTTATTATCGGATCCCGATCTTTCAGAGGACAGCAAACAGCAGGGTAGTATATGTCAAACTGTTGCATCTTTTTTAATTATACAGGCCGCTAGCAAACATGAATCTCTGTTTGTCAAACTTCTGAAAACATAATAGTTTTAATAAGGGAGTTACTAAATAGGACAAACAATCTGTTTTGTTATCGACAAATAAGTTGTTGTGTGACAGATCACGAAGCAGCTGTCTCCTTACAATCAATACCTGAATAAACCTTGAACCAAGATGAGGTCTGAGCTTACTTATATTTTGTGTCCCAGCCAATATACAGTAAAGTCTGTGATTATTTATGCTGTTTTGTATCTGGGATTACTTAACATGTATCTCACCTAAGTCAAAGTAGGACTTGTATCCTGTCCAATATAAGGTCTGAGAATATTTGTTTTTGTCCAGGTCAAGTTTGAGGTAGATTGCTTTTCCTGTATCCTGCCTATTAGATTACTATTCCTGTATCCTGCCTATTAGATTACTTTTACTGTTTCCTGCCTAATAGATTACTTTTCCTGTATCCTGCCTAATAGAATACTTTTCCTATATCCTGCCTATTAGATTACTTTCCTGTATCCTGCCTATTAGATAACTTTTCCTGTATACTGCCTATTATATTACTTTTCCTGTATCCTGCCTATTAGATTACTTTTCCTGTTATTACTTCTCCTGTATCCTGCCTATTTGATTACTTTTCCTGTATCCTTCCTATTTGATTACTTTTCCTGTATTCTGCCTAAAACAAAGTCCAGAGAAATTACTTCTCCTGTATGACATCTGATAAAAGCTGTAACTTGTCCTGCCCAATAGGAGGTTAAAGATAACTTATCTTGTATCCAGTCCTATATTATGACAGAATGTGTTTATGACAAATTATTTGTGACAGAAAATGTCTTACAACAGATTTTTTCTTAGACAGGTAACATCTTATGACATGTTATTTCCTATGATTGGTAAACTCCAATGGCAAACTATTTCTTATGGGAGGTATTCTCTTATGACAGGTAATAGTAAGTTCTTATAACATTAGTAAGAAATCTCTTACAGCTAGTAGATTGTTATGACAGTCTCTGATCACAGTCTGTGACACTTAATAAAGAAGTAACACATTACATACCAGCTGATGTTATAGCAATAAATCCTTGTCACGCCAACCCCAATATTGATAACTAATGATGATGAATCACAAGAAAGCCCATTTACGTTGATGAAATCAAGCCAGAATGATGAGCCTTTTGACATTTACTCATAGAAAATTAGCTAAGGCCACATGTGAAAAGTGCCTTTATATTGCTGATGTGGTCATTTTTTTGACAGCCTTGCTGTCATTTCTGAAGTAAACAGCTACTTATCTGTAAAGACAACTAAATTAGATCTGAGCTGCAGAGAAATTGGGTTCACTGTTTTTTTCTATTTCCTTGCTGAAACAACTGTTCTGGGCTCCACTACTCCCATTTAAAACAATGTCAAGAGTCTGTAGTGTACATGTAAGCTTTAATTTAAGACATCCCTTTCAAATGTCAAAAGGGGTTTATTATCTTAACCTTAAATAAAATTCCATTTTCACACATGACAAAGTTGATATAGAGTACATACAACCTTTACAACATGACTAAAAACCTGTATCTGCCCTATACCAGTCATTGGGGGATCATTGCCACCATAATGTCATAAAAGTAAAAAGTAGAAAGTGATTCACCGACCAACCCTTTACAGAGTGATAGCAAAATGACATGACCAAACATATTGAAAATTGAGTGTAGATTCTAAATCACGGATCAACTCATGAAAATGTCACCAGATACAGGTGTCGGCCCTCTATAGATATATTTACACACCTGAGAAAGCATCCCTCAAGCCTGTCAGAGGTAGGACACCACATGTACAAAAGCCCATGCTTGTAATTATCATGCCAACAACCAATTTCAAAAAATCAAAATTTTAATTTCTGAGGTTGTAATCAGCATTTTCTTGGTTTATTTTCATGTCCTTGCTGGTTGTTGTTGTTGTTGAAAGAAATATTATTTCATTGAAAGAAAAAATGGACACTTAAGGTAGACAATACTATCACTGTTTTGCATTTCAATAAAAAAGAGTTCCAATTTGCTGAATATTTTTCTGACTCTAAAGTACACTGCCCATTTTCTAAAGTTTAATTTAATTTAATTTTAAGATTTATATAAGACAGAAATGTATTCATTATAATATGAAACTTTTCTGTTTCAATACATGTCCTATCCAATATATTACAAAAGAATTATACAAAATACCTAATTGATGGTCAAGCGAAAAAAATTGTTGATGTCAGCTTCCAGTCTTGAACCCTGCACTGTTTAGATATTATTGACCTGTCTTGAAAACCATCCTTGCCATATTTAACCCTGTGCAACCTTCAATCAAGAAGTCTGGATCAATTGGCGTCTATTTATGTCCTAGACAAACAAGAATGTCACACCTCTAACACTTGGGATAGTACAGAAACAAGGTCATACATATTCATTAGGTTTGGAGCTACATGACAAATATGTGAAATATTTAGACCTAGATCAATGGGATGAACTCAGCTACAGGTGAAAACAACTATCTTCATGTGCTAAAACTTTGCTCTTTGCGTTAAATGTTTGCTTCCCAATGCGATGAATTCTAAATTAGCACAGGTGAAAACAACCAGTCTCTCTGTGGTAAGCCTGCCAATGGGATGACAACTAGTTTATATGTGGTAAAGGTTTACTTGGCTCACTTCATCACAAAACCACAAATATGTTAAACCCAGATCTCACAAATGACCTACAACTTTGATATCTATCAGGTCAGGTACAAAAACAGCACAATTCATTTAACATAACAGAGTTATAAAGCCACAACTTTCCATTTTTTTTATATTGCTAGGAGTTAAACTTCATCTGCATACGTGATAACAATACATTCTACGTCGCTGCATTTGGTAGCTTCTGTACGAACATCAGGAAACATTAATTTCGTAAAGACAAAAGTGTGTATTGATTTGTTCTTGGAGTGAATTCAGGACGGAAACTAAAGCCTGTTTAACAGGGCCTTTCTTCATTAATGGAAAAGAATAGCAGTACGTTGATCAATATCCGACCTCCTTCTTAATGACTGTCTATTTTAGGACCATCAGGTACATTTACCTCCACCAGGAAGTCAAACACAATACTACGGAGAGTAATTAACACTCTTACTAAATTCACTGAAATGTACAACTACAATGCTTTGTAGGAAACATACAC